GAGAGAGAGAGAGAGAGAGAGAGAATCAATTAATCAATCAATCAATCAAAGAAACAACGATCAATCAATCAATCAATCAATCAATCAATCAATCTTGAATGATTGATTGATTGATTGATTGATGTTTCTCTGATTGACTGATTGATTGATTGCTTGATTGATTGATTGATCGATTGAAATATGATTGACCGATTGATTGATTTATTCATTCATTCATGGGAAAAAAAAAAGGTGCCAGAAAAAATTCTCACAGGCGATCAACGGCTGTAGTCGATCAACGGGTTGATCGCCATCGAAAGTCTATACAAGCCGACGAACGGCGTTCGTCGGCGAATCGACCTCGTTGACCAGACAAATTGAGAGAGGGAGAGAGAGAGACACAGAGAGAGGGAGAGAAAGACAGAGGAAGAAGAAGAAGAAGAAGAAGAAGAAGAAGAAGAAGTCCCTACCTCGTTCGTCGTTTACCTCCACCGTCGATTCCTCTCTCTCTCTCTCTCTCTCTCTCTCTCTCTCTCTCTCTCTCTCTCTCTCTCTCTCTCTCTCCCGCCGTATCTCTGTCTCTCGCCACCTCGGACGGTAACCGGCCGTGCCGATCGCAACATGCCTGCCGCAAAATGCCGTTGAACCCCCGTTCAACGGGCGTCGAACAACCGTTGAACCCCGTTGTACCCGGTTGATCGGCCGAACAACAGTCGAACCCCGTTGTCCCCCGTTGATCGGCCTTTGATCGGCCGTTGAGCCCCTGTTGTTTCTTGCATCCGCCGTCGAACATGCCCTGTGACGGTCTTCCAAGGACCCCCCCTCCCTCCCTCTCAGCGCGTCCAGGTCTCCCGAACGGTAACACCCCCCTCTGCCTGTCCAGACTCGCGACGACACACACACATGCGGCGCGCAATGAGTCACGTCACGACTGACAAGACAGAGTCGGCCTTTTTATGGCCGCTCTCTTGTCGTCTGCTTCACATAACGCGCGCCGTTTTCCGCGTCGCCGCAGAAAACGGTTCCCAACTGGGCCCACAGCCCCCCTGCCTGTGCATTGTTTTTTTTTTCCCCTTTCTTTTGTTAGCAAGGGGTAGGTTTTTTATTTTTTTTAAATCATTCGGATTCTCAAAAAAAAAATAAAAAAATTCGGGCATGTAGAGCTCACAAAAATCTACACCCCCATATTATTATTATTGTTTTCCACATATTTTCCGGCGGCGCGGCCGGCGTTGTTCCGCCTTATAACGCGCTGTAGAGCGGCGCGGCGTTGTTCCGCCTTATAACGCGCTATAACGCGGCGGGGGTTCAACGGCCGTTGATGCCTTCAACGGGAAACCCCCGTTGAATCACTTTTGGGACACATGAGGGCTTGTTCCTCACACGAGTAGCTGAGTAACAGATCTGCATCCGGCTACGGCCTTCTGATGCCCATTTTTTTTATTTTTATTTTTTTTGTTTTTGGGAGGAGTGCCGATAGGTAATTTTGCAGGAACGTTGTTAAGCGAAGATGATTAGACATACGAGGAGTAAGTAAATGAGTGCTTTTGAAGGAGTAAGAACCGAGTGTAGATAGAATAGAGTGCAGATAGATGAGATGTTTCTTTATTACGAACTGCAAGCCAGCATTGTGAGCATTTGTGACTTCAGGACTGACTGTTAGAGAGCCGACAAAGACAAGTTAAATTTCTTGATTTTTTTGCTGCCGTGGGGTTAAGCCTGGCCGGAGTGCCTGGCTCATCCCTCTGGGCCGTGGCTATTGATGTGAGGGACGCTGGGCCCATTTCCCAGCTTGTAATTAAAAGAGCTCCCCCTTTTTTTGTGTTAAAAAGAAAAAAGAAAAAAAAAGGCCTCGCGTACCAACTGGCCTGGCTCATTGGGTACACCCTTGAACTGTTGAAATAAAGACCCAAGTTCGAACTCCAGTGTGTGGTGAGTGAAATACGACAATTCTGAATTACCTAGGGCCACTCAGTCTTATGATGATTTTTTAAAATCTTTTTTGTCCCTTAAAACAGCTGAAACTTCATTGGCAATACAGAGAAGTTTCGGGGTCCTCACGGTCTACCCGGAAAAGTTCGATGATGATAAAGTCCTCGTGAACAACGAGCCTAGCTCAGTTGGTCCTTCGGGACATCCGTTAAAATTGGAACGACAGAGAGAAGATTAGGGTGGCCCCTGCGCAAGGATTACACGCATCAATCGAGAAAGAAGGAAGCACACCGGAGTTCGAATCCTGATGGCCTTTATGACTGGAAATGAATAATTCTCAATAACCCAGGGCCGTCGCCCTTTATGAAGGGGAAAAAGAAAAACAAAGTTATAGTGTGAGTCTGCCATAAAGAAAGCAAAATGAGCCTTCGGTGTCCGTGACCTTTCCAGATGGGAATTTTTTTTTTTTTTTAATGTGGAGAGAGGTCCTACTAACCTACATTCCTCATTTGCTGCCACAAATCACAAAGAATCAAAGATCGATGCCCATGCTTAAAAAGAAAAAGAAGAAAAAAGAGAAAAAAAAGAAAAGAAAAGGAAAGAAAAGAGACCTCGGAAAGAGAAACAGAAAATCGACGGCGATGAACAGAGAATCTGAATCATAGGTTCAACCAAAAAAAAAAAAAAAAAAAACGAATCTGTATGAGGGAGTTTGGAACAAGACATAGCTTTGGCACAGGGTGAGGACGCATTAGCAAAGACCATCGCATTCAGGTTCATTAAGCGCCTGAATCTGGACGTGTTTTGTGCAGAAATGCAGAAAAGCAGATAGATCGCAAATTTCTGCCTCTGCACACAAACACGTCCAGATTCACGCGTTAAATCCAATCCTTTTTGCAGATGGATCGCAATTCTCTGCTCCTGCACACAAACACGTCCATATTCAGGCGTTAAATCCCATCCTTTTTGCTAGTGAGACCTCACCCTCGATGAGAGTAATCAGGATTATACAACGAATGAATATCTTGAAACAACAGGAAAAAGGAAAGGAGGATCATGCATGAGATATACAGGGAAAGAACTGAAGATATAAGTCAACCAATGGCCAATAATTATTGCTCTTTACAACCAAAACTGTCGATATTGCAAAGAAGAAAGAAAAAGAAAAAAAGGGACTCGAGGTTATTTTTAGTTCATAAAAAAAAGGAACAAAATCTTCTCGACGTCCTTTCTTTTTTTTCCTTTCCCGCTTTTTTTTCAACATACATGCCTCAGAGACGTCTATTTCTGTCATAATTATCTAAAAAACGATGACTAAACAAACGCCATGTGCGACAAAGTAATCGATCTCGAACTTTTTTTTTTTTTTTTTTTTTCGATTCGAACTTTGAAACTATGTAAAATATTATTCGGATCCCCTTTATTTTTATTCTTTATTATTTGTAATCTCCAAATTGAATGTGATCCGGCGAATTTTACAGAAAATAAGGGGAAAGGGGGAAGGAAAAAAAACACCGACAAGGGGAGCTAGAAAACCTGCTGCGAGTCGGCATTTGTGGCTCCCTACCCCACGCCGTCTGTGTACAGCAGAGGAAGAGACGGGGAGGTCCCACAAATGGACCCCTCGACGTAATCATGGCCCCGTTATACCCCGTTTATCGTCCCCGTTAGTGGGCCGTTAAACACCGTTTCTCGTCGTAGTTGCGAATAGATGTGAAGAAGAGGGTCAGGTACTCTGAAACTGGAAATGGGACTAACTAGTAAGGGAAGCTTACTAGACGAAACCTTCAAATAAAACCGAAAACGAAAAAAAAACGACTATCATAAAAGGAAAGTATGGGGGACAGGGCTGCTCCAACGACAGAATTGAACCCCCAAACTCATGTCGCGATTCTTGCTAGTACTATCTCGTTCCGCTCTCCCTTTCTCGATCTCGATCTCTCCGCCTAAAATACAATGAAAAACTCTACCAGCGCCATCAAAGTTCAAAAGATGAGCTGTCTAACCTCTCCGCCTTTCTAGTTTTCCCTCTCTCTCTCTCTCTCTCTCTCTCTCTCTCTCTCTCTCTCACTTCAAAATTGAAATGTCTTTGAAGCGTTTCTCTCTCTCTCTCTCTCTCTCTCTCTCTCTCTCTCTCTCTCTCTCTCTCTCTCTCTCTCTCTCTCTCT